GAACATAACCGGTATGTTGACCGCTCCACCACGCAGATCCTTAAAAAGAGACCGAAACACGGAATTGATCCGCAACATCTCGATCTCCCCAACTACACCAGCAATGGTAAGAGGGTCAGAATACGTTTTCCATCAATCAATTGCATTACCAATTGATTGTGTAGTTGCCAGTAGTTTCCTCTTTATTATTTTCCATAAATAATTGTGTTTTATATAAAATACATTACCTTTGTGGGCCTGCAGGCCGCTCCAAGCAACAGCCTGGTGGACCAAACTCTCACAAGTCAAGTCTGGCCTCGGGCCGGGCTTGAGGAGTAGAAGAACTCCCAGAACCCCATCAACCAGGTATCAACCAGGGAGAACTCGGGCTGCTTATTCACATATATACCTGCATAAACCACATGTCAAAGGTAAATACAGAACGGGCACCAACCCCTGCAAGAGACTCGAACACAGAAAGCACAGATATTCGCGCATCTGAAAATAACCGGTACGTTGACCGCTCCTCCACGCAGATCCTGAAAAAAAGAGACCGAAACTCTGAGTTTATCCGCAACATCTCGATCTCCCCAAGGACACCAGCATTGGGAAGAGGGTCAGAATACGTTTTTCATCATCGATGTCGAAGCTCAGTCAATTAAGGCAGCGGCTAGGATCCTTTCGGATGTAGGTTCGAACCCACGTCATGACCCTTGTGGATTTGCTCATTTGAAGCATCACGCAATTGTGATTTCTGTGTGTTATGAAGTAAGGCCGAGGAGGTTGACCAGCCTATTGACAAACCAGACCACACACTAGAATGTGAAGGGACGACGACGTTTCGGTCCATCCTGGACCATTCACAATCGACTTGAGAATGGTCCAGGACGGACCGAAACGTCGTCGTCCCTTCACATTCTTGTGTGTGGTCTTGTCATCATATTTTAGCCGCGTTATTGTGACTCATCGCCTGCTATTAACAAAGCTCGGGTGCATGCGGGAATTTCGTAAAACCCTGGTTTTTGTGTCGGAGAGACTGTAGGAACCGTTGGTAAATCTGGATGATTTCCGAGTTGCAAGTCTTTTAACAATGTCGTAGCTCAGTTGATTAAGGCAGCGTCTCGGATCCTCTCGGACGTAGGTTCGAACCCTTGTCACGGCCCTTGTGGATTTATTCATTTGATGCATCACGCTATTGTGATTTCTGTGTGTAATGAGTTGGGTGAGGCATGTGAGAGTCGGGGTGAGGGGGTGTGAGGGATGGGGGTGAGGTGTGTGATGGTCGGGGTGAGGGGGTGTGAGGGATGGGGGTGAGGTATGTGTGATGGTCGGAGTGAGGTGTGTGAGGGATGGGGGTGAGGTATGTGTGACGGTCGGGGTGAGGGGGTGTGAGGGATGGGGGTGAGGTATGTGTGATGGTCGGAGTGAGGTGTGTGAGGGATGGGGTGAGGTATGTGTGATGGTCCGAGTGAGGTGTGTGAGGGATGGGGTGAGGTGTGTGAGGGATGGGGTGAGGTGTGTGAGGGATGGGGTGAGGTGTGTGAGGGTTGGGGTGAGGTGTTTAAGGGTTGGGATGAGGTGTATGAGGGTTGGGGTGAGGTTTGTTATGGGCGGCGTGAGGGATGAGGTGAGGTGTGTGAGGGTTGGGGTGAGGTTTGTTATGGGCGGCGTGAGGGATGAGGTGAGGTGTGTGAGGGTCGGGGTTAGGTGTGTGAGGGATGAGGGAGTGGATAATGTTTGTGAGGGGTGAGGGAGTGGATAATGTTTGTGAGGGATGAGGGAGGGGATAATATTTGTGAGGGATGAGGGAGTGGATAATGTTTGTGAGGGATGAGGGAGTGGATAATGTTTGTGAGGGATGAGGGAGTGGATAATGTTCGTGAGGGGTGAGGGAGGGGATAATATTTGTGAGGGATGAGGGAGTGGATAATGTTTGTGAGGGATGAGGGAGGGGATAATATTTGTGAGGGATGAGGGAGTGGATAATATTTGTGAGGGATGAGGGAGTGGATAATGTTTGTGAGGGATGAGGGAGTGGATAATGTTTGTGAGGGATGAGGGAGTGGATAATGTTCGTGAGGGGTGAGGGAGGGGATAATATTTGTGAGGGATGAGGGAGTGGATAATGTTTGTGAGGGATGAGGGAGGGGATAATATTTGTGAGGGATGAGGGAGTGGAAAATGTTTGTGAGGGATGAGGGAGTGGATAATGTTTGTGAGGGATGAGGGAGTGGATAATGTTTGTGAGGGATGAGGGAGTGGATAATGTTTGTGAGGGATGAGGGAGGGGGATAATGTTTGTGATGGATGAGGGAGGGGGATAATGTTTGTGAGGGATGAGGGAGTGGATAATGTTTGTGAGGGATGAGGGAGGGGATAATGTTTGTGAGGGATGAGGGGGTGGATAATGTTTGTGAGGGATGAGGGAGTGGATAATGTTTGTGAGGGATGAGGGAGGGGGATAAGGTTTGTGAGGGATGAGGGAGTGGATAATGTTTGTGAGGGATGAGGGAGGGGGATAATGTTTGTGAGGGATGAGGGAGGGGGATAATGTTTGTGAGGGATGAGGGAGGGGGATAATTTTTGTGAGGGATGAGGGAGGGGATAATGTTTGTGAGGGATGAGGGAGGGGGATAATGTTTGTGATGGATGAGGGAGGGGGATAATGTTTGTGAGGGATGAGGGAGGGGGATAATGTTTGTGAGGGATGAGGGAGGGGGATAAGGTCTGAGAGGGATGAGGGAGTGGATAAGGTTTGTAAGGGATGAGTGACGTGTCTCAGAATCGGATCTTTTGCTACCTTATATCCTCGCTTGTGGTGTTGCAGATTTCGTGTCCACCTACTGAGAGGTGGACGTCGGACTTGGCCTCATTGTCTGATAGTTTATTGATCACTCTATCCACTATGTCTCCAACCCTTTCATTCAAAATATAACTTATCTATTCATGTTGAATATAGATAAGTTATAGTTTATGTGAAATAGGGATATTAATATAGATTTCTTTCATAATAATTATATATTAATAATTACCATAATTAATTAACTATTAATTATTATAATTACAATATAATTGCAATATTAATTCTTTGGAATTAATATTGCAAATTTTGGAATAAAAATGGAACAATTTTAAAATTTGTATTGAAGACAATTTTCGGATTAGTGGTAGAAATGTGTATAGAGAGTATGTGATACCTGTGGTGGATGTGGGTGATGTGAGCCATGTGTATCACTACAATAGGGGTGAAGGGAAGATGACCTGCTACAGGTGAGAACCCTCACACTTGATCTCCACACTACTGGTCTCAATAACGTTGATATCCTCCACAGTATTGGCCACAGAACACTTGCTATCTTCCACAGAACTGGCCACAATACACTTGCTATCATCCACAGTACTAGCTTCAATAACGTTGATATCCTCCAGTTCTGTCCTCACTGCACTTGCTCTCTTCCTCAGTACTGGCCGCACTGCCCTTTATATCCTTCGCAGAACTTGTTTCCACATCTATTTCACTCTTACATGCCAAGTCAACATGGTAAATGCGTCGTCAATTTCATCGATTAGTAGGGTAGTTTTTGTTGACAATGTGAGGGTTGGGAGAGTGATGATCTATCAACGTCTTGTCAAAGTTTATGTACATTATGTGCTGTGAACGCATATTGATGCGGTACGTGGCAGAGATGTCAATAAAGAGTTTGTTATCTCTTATCTACATTATGATTGGTAAATATAATTTGTATTAGATCGGCAACGAGGAAGTGGAAGAAAGTCGAATATCATGAATGTATAAATGAATGCATATATTTTATAGTACTAATATTTCATACTAATTGAACATATCATGAGATGAACCTGCTGAAGGCCTTTTGACACAGGAAAAGCTGCTCATAGTGGTTCATATTGACTCATGGTGACTCACAGTGCCACATGGTGGCTCATGGTGGCACATGCTGGCTCATAGTGGCACATGGTGGCTTATGGTGGCAAATGGTGGCTCATGGTGGCACATGATGGCTCTTGGTGGCACATTGTGGCACATAGTGGCTCATGATGGCTCATGGTGACTCGTGGTGGCTAATGGTAGCTCATGGTGACTCAAGGTGGCACATGGTGTCACATGATGGTACATGGTGGCACATGATGGTACATGGTGGCACATGGTGGCTCATGGTAGCAGTTGGTGGCACATGGAGGATCATGGTAGCACTTGGTGGCACATGGTGGCACATGGTGGCTCACGGTGCCACATGGTGTCACATGGTGGTACATGGTGGCACATGGTGGCACATGGTGGCTCATGGTGTTTCATGGTGGCACATGATGGGTAATGGTGGCCCATAGTGGCTCATGGTGGAACATGGTGGCTCATGGTGGCTCACGGTGCCACATGGTGTCACATGATGGTACATGGTGTCACATGATGGTACATGGTGGCACATGGTGGCTCATGGTGGCACATGGAGGATCATGGTAGCACTTGGTGGCACATGGTGGCACATGGTGGCTCATGGTGGCTCACGGTGCCACATGGTGTCACATGGTGGTACATGGTGGCACATGGTGGCACATGGTGGCACATGTTGGCTCATGGTGACTCATGATGGCCCATGATGGACCCAGGTGGCACATGGGGGCTCATGGTGGGCCCATGGTGGACCTTGGTGGCCCACGGTGTCAATTGGTGGCACATGGTGGCTCTGGAGCCGGTCGGCCGAGCGGACAGCACGCTGGACTTGTGATCCTGTGGTCCTGGGTTCGATCCCAGGCGCCGGCGAGAAACAATGGGCAGAGTTTCTTTCACCCTATGCCCTTGTTACCTAGCAGTAAAATAGGTACCTGGGTGTTAGTCAGCTGTCACGGGCTGCTTCCTGGGGTGGAGGCCTGGTCGAGGACCGGGCCGCGGGGACACTAAAAAAAAACGAAATCATCACAAGTTAACCTAAAGATGGTGACACATAATGACACATGGTGGCTCGTGGTGGCACATGGTGGCTCATGGTGTCTAATGGTGGCTCATGGTGGCACATGGTGGCTCATGGTGGCACATGGTGGCTCATGGTGGCACATGGTGGCTCGTGGTGGCACATGGTGGCTCGTGGTGGCACATGGTGGCTCATGGTGGCACATGGTGGCTCATGGTGGCACATGGTGGCTCATGGTGGCACATGGTGGCTCGTGGTGGCACATGGTGTCTAATGGTGGCATATGGTGGCACATTGTGGCTCATAGTGGCACATGGTGGTTCATGGTGGCACATGGTGGCTCATGGTGTCACATGGTGGCTCATGGTGGCACATGGTGGCTCATGGTGGCACATGGTGGCACATGGTGGCTCGTGGTGGCACATGGTGGCTCGTGGTGGCACATGGTGGCTCGTGGTGGCACATGGTGGCTCGTGGTGGCACATGGTGGCTCATGGTGGCACATGGTGGCTCGTGGTGGCACATGGTGGCTCATGGTGGCTCATGGTGGCTCATGGTGGCACATGGTGGCACATGGTGGCTCGTGGTGGCACATGGTGGCTCATGGTGGCACATGGTGGCTCATGGTGGCACATGGTGGCACATGGTGGCTCGTGGTGGCACATGGTGGCTCATGGTGGCACATGGTGGCTCGTGGTGGCACATGGTGGCTCGTGGTGGCACATGGTGGCTCATGGTGGCACATGGTGGCTCGTGGTGGCACATGGTGGCTCATGGTGGCTCATGGTGGCTCGTGGTGGCACATGGTGGCTCATGGTGGCTCATGGTGGCTCGTGGTGGCTCGTGGTGGCACATGGTGGCACATGGTGGCTCGTGGTGGCACATGGTGGCACATGGTGTCTAATGGTGGCATATGGTGGCACATTGTGGCTCATAGTGGCACATGGTGGTTCATGGTGGCACATGGTGGCTCATGGTGGCACATGGTGGCTCATGGTGGCACATGGTGGCTCATGGTGGCACATTGTGGCTCATAGTGGCACATGGTGGTTCATGGTGGCACATGGTGGCTCGTGGTGGCACATGGTGGCTCATGGTGGCACATGGTGGCTCATGGTGGCACATGGTGGCTCATGGTGGCACATGGTGGCTCGTGGTGGCACATGGTGTCTAATGGTGGCATATGGTGGCACATTGTGGCTCATAGTGGCACATGGTGGTTCATGGTGGCACATGGTGGCTCATGGTGTCACATGGTGGCTCATGGTGGCACATGGTGGCTCGTGGTGGCACATGGTGTCTAATGGTGGCTCATGGTGTCACATGGTGGCTCATGGTGGCACATGGTGGCTCATGGTGGCACATGGTGGCTCGTGGTGGCACATGGTGTCTAATGGTGGCTCATGGTGTCACATGGTGGCTCATGACGGGTCATGGTGGCAAATGGTGGCAAATGGTGGCTCATGGTGCCAAATGGTGGTACATGGTGGCTTATAGTGGCACATTGTGGCTCATGGTGTCACATTGTGGCACATGGTGGTTAATAGTGGCACTTGGTGGCTCATGGTAGCTCTTGTTGGCACATTGTGACTCATGGTGGTAAATGGTGGCTCATGGTGACACATGGTGGCATACGGTGGTTCATGGTGTCACATGGTTTATCTTGAGGTTATCTTGAGATGATTTCGGGGCTTTTAGTGTCCCCGCGGCCCGGTCCTCGACCAGGCCTCCACCCCAGGAAGCAGCCCGTGACAGCTGACTAACACCCAGGTACCTATTTTACTGCTAGGTAACAGGGGCATAGGGTGAAAGAAACTCTGCCCATTGTTTCTCGCCGGCGCCTGGGATCGAACCCAGGACCACAGGATCACAAGTCCCGCGTGCTGTCCGCTCGGCCGACCGGTTCCCGTTGCACATTGGTTGCACATTGGTTGCACATTGTGTCACATGGTGGCTCGTGGTGGCTCATGGTGGTTGTTTGTGGTACATGGTGGCTTCTGGTGGCACATGGTGTTACATGGAGGCAAATGGTGGTACATCGTGGTTCTTGGTGGCTCGTGGTGGCATGTAGATGCACATGGTTGCACATGGTGGCTCATTGTGGCTCATGGTGACACATGGTGGCACACGGTGGCACTTGGTGGTGTGGGTGGTGATTGTACAGGGTGGTGTGGGTGGTGATTGTAATGGGTGGTGTGGGTGGTGATTGTACCGGGTGGTGTGGGTGGTGATTGTACCGGGTGGTGTGGGTGGTGATTGTACAGGGTGGTGTGGGTGGTGATTGTACAGGGTGGTGTGGGTGGTGATTGTACAGGGTGGTGTGGGTGGTGATTGTATCAGGTGGTGTGGGTGGTGATTGTACAGGGTGGTGTTGGTGGTGATTGTACAGGGTGGTGTGGGTGGTGATTGTACAGGGTGGTGTGGGTGGTGATTGTACATGGTACAACCCATGTACAAGCCACGACACTATACTCCACAACACTATACACCACGACACAATACACCACGACACTATACACCTCGACATTATACTCCACATCACTATACTCCACGACACTATACTCTACGACATTATAGTCCACGACACTATACACAACGACACTATATTCCACGACACTATACTCCATGACATTATACACCACGACACTATACACAACGACACTATACTCCCCGACACTATACTCCACGACACTATACTCCACAACATTATTCTCCACGACATTATACTCTACGACACTATACACAACGACACTATATATACTCCACGACACTATTCTTTATATACTCCACGACACTATTCTTAACGACACTATACACCAAGACCTAGATTCAGGAAGCTGTGTGTATTTCTTCGTAAGTGGGTTTGCTACGAAGGTTCCTAAGTGCGCCCTAAGAAGATGCTTAGGTGCGATTCAATAAGGTGTACTTAGGAAGAAATTTGTTGGTTCACCTGCGTGCCGATAGAGGTCACTACTGTGTTTCGTTTGGCCAATCAGAGAGCAGCAACATTCTTCATATTGAAGATTTAGCGCTGGCTTATCGGAGCTCTACTCCTCCTATTTACGTCGAATTTTCTTATAAAATTAGTATATTTCGAAGTAAAACAATGTTTTTTCAACTTCTACAGCCAGCACCGACATTGTAGTAAGCAAATATGTTACATTTGTTGTTTACCTACGTAATTCTAAGAGATACTGTGTAGCTGTCCTTGTTGCTCGGAAGATGCGCTGACAATTATTGTATATATTTACTGAATTTACCCAAGGGCCACTAACTATCTAGTGACCTCGAAGAGGACAGAAAGCCGGCGGCTTGTTAAAGGGCCCGCCAATTGTCTTAATGATACTTTTTAGCTGGAATTTGGCATTTACGGCTTCAGCGGGTAGGCAGTTCCTTGGGTTTATAGCCCTCTTGGTGGAAAAAAAACATCTGTTTTCAGTCCTACTTGAGAGAACATACTTACTCTCCAACACTATATCTGTGATTGTCCTGTTATCAGTGACTTCATACCAAATGGTATGAGGTATTTTGAGCTCTGTAATTACTTCATACACTCAGGAATATTGGAAGATATTCTTGTGCTGCACCCAGATTTTGCCAGTGGAGGCTAATAGATCTGCATTAAGTATTTTGTTCTCTCCTAATTCCATGTATGACTGGCCATCCTGTGAGGTGATGATGTTGGATGAGCTTGTAGCTGGTTTTTGATCTACACTGTGTGGTCCTTTATACAGAATAGGGAAGCAGCACATTGTTGTGTATACCTAAACATGTTTAAAAATACATTGTTTGAGAGGAGTCTTTTAGAAACTGGTAAGAGTAATTATAATATAATGTTTCCATGATTCAGTGCTTACCTCTTGTGAAAATTGCTTAGAGTTGTTTAGTCAGAGTTGATTTCTTTTTTGTATTGAGGCTGGTATTTTCTAAATTGATTCCATGTACAGTATGTCTAACCATCCTGTGAGATGGGAGTATTAGATAAACTTATAGCTAGTTTTTTATCTACACTGTGTAATATTCCATATAGAATAGGGTAGCAGCACATTGCTGTGTATACCTAATCTTCTTAATAAAAAAAATCAGTAATAAAGATTTTAAATTATAGTTTGTATTACAAATACAGTACTATATTATGCTTATTAAATCATGTTGACCATGGATCATTAAGATCTCATGTTGATATGTAATAGTCATATTTCTTTTGAACTGCTAATCCATGCTAATCATTCATTAAATTGTGCATTATGTCTCAATTTTTCACTTCCTTGGATATACTGTACAGTACTAAAAGTTAGGATAAAAATAAACCAGTAATATTTCTTTCATTATATTTTTCATTTAAATAACTGCATCAATATTTTTACAGCTGACAGGATTTGTTTTACCATACAGGTGCATTATTTGTTAAAAAAAAAAAATTGGTTTATTGTTACACACAATGGTGCTACATAGCCTTCCCAGCTTGGTGCCTTCTTTTAATACTTACTGATTAAAAAATAAATAATAAATACATTTTATTCAGGAAAAGTACATACAGTTGATTTACAAACATAATGTTGGATTTATAGACAGAGCTAGTACATACAATACCTAAAGTCACTAATACTCATAGCATTTCAGGCAAGGTGTGGGGGAAAAAAACACAGACTAAAACTTAATAGTAATCGGGATTAGGTATAAATTGTGTTGAAAGAAGGAATAAAAAATACAAAAAGGGGGGGGTTAACATAGCATAAATCAGCAATTGCACATGTTGGTGAACAGCGTTGTTTAAAAAATAGCAAGACATGGGTTGACATTTAGGAGGTAAGTTAGGTTACATGGAGTTAATTAGGCAGTACTTGGTTTAACTCTTAAACTGGTTGAGAGAGGTACAGCCTTCGACATGATTCGGGAGGTCATTCCACATTCTGGGTCCCTTGATTTGTAGAGCACTTCTAGTTTGGTTACACACAGCCAAATTGAGTAACAGGAAGAGGTCTTGGACACAAATTTGTTCCATGCTAAATGTAGAGGAATCAGCTGAGTATTCCTCAAATAAAATAAGTTGCCTCAGCTTATAAGGTAAATAAAATAAGCATTTCTCAAATAAGTAGCTGCCTCACCTCACTGCCTTACTGCTACATAGCCTTCCCGGCATGGTGCCTTCTTTTGATAATTACTTGTTCCACACCCATATTGTATAACAGGAAGAGGTCTTGGACCCCTACTTCCCTCTCTCTTTTTTGATAGTCTATATAGTCATAATTATAGCTTTAAGTATTCAATGAATAAAGTTTTTGACATTTTTACCCTTCTCCTTACCTAACATCATTTGTGCAGCATATTTTTATTTTATGTCTCACCCAGATTAATTTCAAAATAAAACCAAACTAAATAAATTAGAAATGGGAATGTATAGCTAAGGTACACCCTTACTACTAGGTGAACAGGGGCATTTGGTGATAGTAAATGATCCCATCAGGCAGAGCTCATCACCTTCTCTCATATTTCATGTTCACCAGTGTTTATTTACTTAATAACTACGGGTATAATATGTTGCTATTATAAAACTAATTCTACTATCATCAAACACATATTTACTTCAAGTTTCAAGCAGAGAATGCATATATAACTAACACGAAGGACTCTTCTTCACTAGATTCACCAGCTATAATATTTTGGTCATGTTCCAATATCATAAATCGATCCCAGTGTTATGTAGTAGAGAAAAAATGACTTATATCCAATTTACGTAAAGCTACGAGTGGTCGAAACCACACTTAAATCCCGGAATGAACTTACGAAGGTTTTTCCACTTAGGGTAGCTAATTGAATACGGACGTAGCCGCCACGAAGGCGTTAAGAGGGAAAACGTTCTTAGCTAAGAGGAAAAACCTTCGTAAGTACCTTCCTGAATCCGGCCCCAAGACAATATACTCCACAACACTATAATCCACACGACACTATACTCCACGACGCTGTGCTCCACGACACTACACTCCACGACACTATACACCACGACACTATACACAACGACACTATACACCACGACATTATACACCACGACACTATACTCCACGACACTAAACACCACGACACTATACACCACGACACCATACAACACGACACTATACTTTATGACACTATACACCACGACACTATACACAACGACACTATACACCACGACACTATTCACAACGACACTATACTCTACGACACTATACTCCACGACACTATACATCACGACACTATACTCCACGACATTATACTACACGACACTATACACCATGACACTATGTTCCACGACACTATACACCACGACACTATACACCACGACACTATACACCACGAGACTATAATCCACAACACTATTCTTCACGACACTATTAAGCACGACATTATACTCCACGACACTCTACTCCACGACTCTATACAGCCCAACACTATACTCCACTACAGTATACACCACGACATTATACTCCACTACACTATACACCACTACACAATACACC